AATTGTGCTCCAAAGTTTCACGGGAACTCAGCCCTGCACATCAGGTTCCTGGGAAAAGCCTTCATTGAAATTCAGGCCTTTTTTGGTGTGGATTTTGAGACACCTACATTTGAAAAGTCAAGTCAACAAACCCGAGCTGTCCAACATCTGAACGCTGCAGGGATGGATATTGGCACTTGGCTCCGGTGGTTTCCAATCTGGGAATTTCATATATCTCTCACTATCTGTCACCACCATTCCCACTGACCTCCCTGCGCTGGGAGCTCATGGTGTGCAGGCTGCAAACTGATCTTTGCAAGCTGGGAGCTGGCAGTGCAGGGCTGGAAAAAGGGTTGAACTGCAGGGAGCACTGAAGGTCTGAGCCTTGGATATGGAAAGAAGAGAAATAATATCAAAGGAAATCACATAAGTGGAAAAAGAGCCCCCTGGGGCAGCCCAGGCAGCAGCAGGTCTGTCTTGTTCATGTTTTCAGAGAAGTTAGAGGTCAGCCAAGCTTGATAACGAGGTAATAAAGAAAAATCCATCATTGAGCCTTGGGGGACTTGTAGATGCGGCTCTCATCAGAATAAACGAATTTAGATGCTGCTCGGCAAAGCAACAAGAACGATTATAGATCACAAATCCAACAGATCATCTGGAAGGGTGTGGGAGCAACATCGGCTGGGCTGGAGCTGAACTTTCCGCAGTTCCCAAGGGCTTCGCTTCCCGGGGCTCCATCCCCCCCGCTACAGCCCCGCGCCGGGAGATGCTCCCTTAGGGGTGGGCATGAGCGGTGCCAGGGCAGGAGCAGCGATCGCACCCTGCGGCGCTCCGGGCTTCGTTCTGCCCTCCGCCTACACCCCCCTGCAAATAACGGGCTGGGCGGACCGTCAGGGCAAGAGTTCTTCCCTGGGGGAAAAATCCCAAAGGTTCCTGTTCGTTGTGGCCAGTTTTGCAGCTTTCAGGAGCTCTGATCAGGGTGGAGGCACTGGGACACCCGGGGGGAAAACCTCGGCCGTGGCGATCCACCTGCTGAAGCGGTCAGCAGGGCATCAAACACCGACCCCACACGCCTGGATCAAACACCTCATTAAGACAGGCGGGAAAGACAGTGAAAATCAATTTAAAGAAGAAAAAAAAAATCATAATGATCCGTTGATGGCCTTTATTTTTTTTTCCTCACTTTTGAGACTTTCTGGAGACTCTCTCCACTCCAGCACCACTCATCCCCAAGCACGTTTGATTCCACAATTGAAAATTAAAGTGAAATGTAAAGCAGAGTTAGGTTCAAACGGGAAGCAAAGCTGTCTGTAAGGAAATTCTGCAGAGAGGAGAGCAGAAAAATTAAAAATCTACGCAAGGAAAAATGCTTCCCTCCCAGCCTAGCATGCCCGGGCTCAGCGAGACGATGACAAAGCAATCTTTTCTGGTAGATCAATAGGGTTTTTCTTTCGGGAGACCACATCATTTCTTACCCCGGCGCACATTAAAACGCGCCCGTGGCTCCGTGTGGATGCACGGCCGGGAGTGTGTGTGTGAGCGTGTGCCTGTGTGCGCACCGTGTCTGGGATCCGACCATCTGGTTTGTTTCAGTCCAGGGTTTCCCTTTTCTAAATCATCTCGGGACGGGTGTAGTTTAGGTACTTTTTCTCGTTTTGATTTGTTTCTGCAGCCGATTTTGCGTGGCAAAGCCGAGGCTGCGACCGACTCGGCGAACAGAAGCCGTTCGGAGACGGAGAGAGCGAGATTCATTCACTCTCGTTCCACCGTGGCTCATCCTCGACTTAAACGGGGACTAAATTGTGCCTTGAAAGAGGCAGAAGTCGTGTCGGTGCTGGGTGATCGGGACACGCTGTTTCTGGAGCTGCGGCGCTCTGGGTGCGCGATGCTGAGCGGGAGAGCCAGGTCCAGGCTCCGGCCGCATCCCATCAACAGCGCCTCGGATCAACTCTCCTCGCCTCCCCCGAACATTTTCGACCTCATCGGGGTCCCCATGACCATGAGTATAGCAGCAAGCGGCTCCACCCGAGTTCCCCGTTGCCGGGGGCTCCCCGGAGAGGTCTGCCCACCTCTCCAGACAGGGGGAGAGCCGGCAGCCAGGGCAGGGCAGGGGTGGGCAGGCAGCAGACACCCACATCTGTTTCACTTCGAGCCGTGCGGGACCAGCTTCCAGACGGAGCGATCGGGAGGCAGCCGCCCTGCGACCGGGCTCCGCTGGGGCTCGGGGGGCGGCCGAGCACCTTCTCCCCCGGAGCATCCCCCGGAGCATCCCCCGGGCGGTGTCCTCTGCCCCCGGCCGCTCGCAGCGCGTCATTTTGCTGCCCCCCCGCCCTCCCCTTCGCCGCCCTGCAGAGACACAAGGCGCAGCTCCCGGCGGTTCCTCGCTGCCATGAAATGCACCAAGTGGAAATTCAATCGCCCCGTTGTGTGTGTGGTCGAAATCTCTGGCAGCTGCTTCGGAATTTTTTATGACACTTTCGTTTATGTAGGGGAGGCATAACTATTATTTTACTTAATAAAAATGGAAAGCGGCTCGGGTCTTTTCCCTCTCCGCTCCCTTCCATTTGTTCTTCCCATCGCCTTTCCACCGGGCTGATGAACGGAGAGTTTAAACAGTGTTGGTAGGAAAGATGCGGCATCTCCGAGGCATTTCTCCGTGTTAGACAATTATATATACATGTATATATGAAAAAAAAATACATCGGGAAAAGAAAGAAAATAAATGTAGGTATAGTTGAATATATATACACACGCAAATATCTGAGAGGGAGATATATGTGTATGTGTTGTGAACACAGGTTAGGAGCATCGAAGAAGTATAAAAGTGAAAGCTAAGGAAAGCTCCCCCAGAGCTGACACACGCCCCGGGGGACAGACTTCCCACCTTCCCGAGAAACTCTCAGCACAGTTTCCCCCTCTGCTTTTCCCCTCCGATCGAAAAATTCTCCCCGATGTCCGCGCTGGCGGCGAGGAAGGAGGATCCGACCGACTCCGCGCAGAGGCTCCGGCTCTGAAATCGCTGCTTCCACTGGAGATGTGCGGACGGAGACGTCCGCTTCTGCCCTCTCCTCGGGGTCCCCCCGAATTCGCCGAGCCTGTGCACCGAGTCGTTAGGGCTTGAGTAATTGTGACCGGCATTTGGAAGCGGGGCCGCGCAGCTGTTTGGCCCGGCTCCCCGGTATTAGTGCTGGAGATTTTATCACCAAATGCTCGCACCTGTTAACGGCAGAGACTGGCAATTCATCACCGCGGATTCTCACACTGCTGAACGTGGCCCTGGCGGGGGGACATCTTCTCAAGGTACCCCCTTGGAGGAACCCATCCCTTTCCTCCCTCCCCATGCATCCTCCCACGGGAAAGCAGATACGTGTTTGCAGAGCCTCCAAGGGAAAAAAACCCGAACCAAACCAAAACCTAACAGTGCGAGCGTGGTTCAAAGCGTCCGCGATAGAGACGGGGACAACTTGCTGTCACAGCCACCTACGGGACATGGGTTGGGCAGCTTCCGCCGTGGCCGTGCTCCCCGGACTGCGCCAGGGCAGCTGCAAGGGGGGCAGCGGGGCTCTGCCACCCGCGGAGACGCTGCGGTGGCTCCCGGGGACCTGGTGTGCCTCTGTTTCGAAGGAAATTCTCCCGCTTCGCCTGCAGCCCGCGACAAGGTGGGTGTCTGCTGCCCACCACCTCCTCCTGCCAGCCGTCAGGGAAGCGGAGGCAGGAGAGCGGCGGACAGGAGATCCCGAGGCCGCGGGATATTCCCCTTCCCGAAGGGATCCTGGGACCTGGCCGGGCTGTGGGTGGGCCGCCTGGGAAAGTGGTACCCGGCCGAGCCAGCCGCGTCGGGCGGAGATGCAGCACTCGGGTGCGGTGCCAGCACCCGCGGACACGCACAGCCTTTGCTTTGGTTATCTCTAGCGGGGGGAGAGGCTCGGCAGTGTCGCTCCTCGCCCTCCGGCCCGCACCTGCCGGGCGCAGCATCCCTTCCGTGGCAGCCCTCGGAGGAGGTGGCTTTCCAGGCGGGGTGCTCCGGCCTCGGTGACGTGTCGGTGACGTAAGCGCGCGGAGAAGGGGAGCGGGGATCCCCAAATTCACACCATCCCTCAAGGGGGCCGAGGGCTCGGTCCTGACGGAGTGAGGGTCCCTGTCGGCGACGCTGCGGGAGGTCTGCAGCTCATCCCCAGCTTCGGGGACGGGCAGCCCTCGGGGGGAGAACGGACCCTCCGCGGACCCCCGGGCCGAGGAAGGCAACGCGCAGGAATGGGGTCTGAGAGCCTCCAGCACCGCGGGGCGCTTGGGCCGGGGAGGGGCTTTATCCAGCGTCGATCCTACAGCCCCCCTCCTACAGCAGCCGGCTCCAGACGAAGCCGGGGGCATCCGAGCGCCAGGGGAGCGGGCAGCGCCTTTCCTCGAAAGCATCTCGGGCGGGGGACACGCTCCCCGGGGACCGGGCCGGGCCGGGCCGTCCCTCATCGTGCCCCGTGGGGGCTGCGGCGGGCGCCACGTGATGCCGGGGCTGCCGTATAAAGGCCTGGGGAGCGCTGGCAGCAGGCGCAGTGTGGGAGCGTTTCCACCGAGTCCCAGCTCGGGAGGGGTGGGGAGGGGGGAGCCGCCTTCCCCACTTCTGCCCTCCCCCCTCCCTCTTCCCCTGCCCCTCCCTTCCCCTCCCCCTCCCTCCCCCCAACCAGAGAAGGAGCCGTCGCAAACCCCACTTTTCTTTATTTTAACTTTTTTTTCTCCCCTCATTTCCCCCCCCCCCGTGTTTCTCTCCTTTTATTATCATTATCACCATTATTTATTATCGCTGCTCCCAAGCGCCCTGCCCAGCCCACGGGCTCCCCGTCCCCCCGCCCCCGCCCCGCGCCCCCTCCGCCGCCCCTCCCTCCGCAGCCACCACCCCGCAGCCACCACCGCGGCCCCGCCAGCAGCGGCGCGGCGAGCGGGGCGCGGAGCGGAGCGGCGGCGCCGGGGCGCGGAGTCCCAGCGGCGGCCGCAGCCCTCCGGCACGGCCCCGGGCCCATCCCGGGAGCCGCCGCTAGGTGGGGGGGGGAGCCCGGCCCCGGCCGCCCCGGCCGCACAACAATGACTTTGGGCAGCAGCGGCGGCGGCGGCTGCGGGATCATGTCCGAGCGCTCCCCGGAGGAAGAGCCGCTCTCCGAGGTGGAGGACGCGGATATCGACGTGGTGGGCCCGCCCCAGGATGGGGGCAAGTACAGCGAGGAGGAGGAGGACGACGAGGACGAGGAGGACGAGGAGGACGGCGGCGATCCGCTGGGGCTGGCGCTGCCGCGGAGCGGGGCCGCCAAGGCGCGCATGGGGGGGTCCCCGGAGCGGCTGTCCCCCGCCGGCGGCTCGGAGCCGGCCTGCGCCCGCGGCGCCGCGCCCGGGGAGAAGGCGCCCGCGGGCGGCGGCGGCGGCGGAGCCGGGGGGAAGAATCCGCTGGTGAAGCCGCCCTACTCCTACATCGCCCTCATCACCATGGCCATCCTGCAGAGCCCCAAGAAGCGGCTGACGCTGAGCGAGATCTGCGAGTTCATCAGCGGGCGCTTCCCGTACTACCGGGAGAAGTTCCCCGCCTGGCAGAACAGCATCCGCCACAACCTCTCCCTCAACGACTGCTTCGTCAAGATCCCCCGGGAGCCCGGCAACCCGGGAAAGGGCAACTACTGGACGCTGGACCCCGAGTCCGCCGACATGTTCGACAACGGGAGCTTCCTGCGCCGGAGGAAGCGCTTCAAGCGGCAGCAGCAGCTGCACCCGCCGCACCCCGAGCTGCTGCTGCGGGCAGGGGCCGCCGACCCCGCCGCCTTCCTGCCCGGCTTCGCCTACGGACCCTACGGCTACAACTACGGCCTGCAGCTCCAGGGTTACCCCCCCCACCACCACCACCATCCCGGTGGCGGAGGCGGCGGCGCCGCGGGCGCCTTCCCCTTCCCGGCGCCGCACTGCCCGTTACCGGCTCCGCCGCCTCCCGCCGCCGCCTCCGTCTTCTCCGCCGCCTCGGGGCTGCCCTCCTTCCTGGGCGGCGAGCTGAACTGCAGGAAGTCCTTCTACCACCCCCAGCTGAGCCCCACCGCCCTGCCCGCCGCCCTCCTCCAGACCCTCAAGCCGGACCCCTCGCCCGCCGGGGGCGGCGGCGGCGGCAGCGGCGGCACCAACCACCCCTCCCGGCCCTCTTTTTCCATAGACAACATCATCGGGGGGGCCGTGCCCCCGCCGCCCAGCACCAACCCCAGCGTCGCGCCCGCCGCGCCCTACCCCGCCGGCCAGGCGGGCCCCCCGGCGCAGGTCCTGGCCGTGCTCAGCCCCGCCTTGGCCCCGGCACAGCCCCAGGTCAGCCTGGCACACGAGCCGCTCCTCCAGCCGGCCCAGAACTTTTCCAGTAAAATCACAACCCTCAGCAGCTGTCATTTTTAAAGTGTGCTGTGGACTGGGGAAGGGGAGGGGGATGGGGGGGAGAGTCGCGAAGCAAACGGCCCCTTTCCAGCTCTCCTCCACTCCTCCGAAACTGCTCCCCTTCCCTCTCCCCGTGTCCCTCCCCCCCCCATCTCCTCCTGTTGTGTTTTAAGGTAGGAAATATTTCCTTTTTTTTTTTTTTTTTTTTTAATTTTTACTTCATTTCCAGGCTCAGTGGCATCCAGATCTGTTTGTCTCTCTCTCTGATCGGGGAAAAAAAAAAAAGATATCAATACATAGGGAGGGCGGGAGGAGGGAAAGAATAACACGATTTGGTCCTACAAGCGCCAAAGCGTATTTATAAAGTGGCCGTAACATAAGCTGGGACCTGGGCTGGTTGAACACGCAACGTCTTGGGAGGGGAGAAGGGGGACATGTGAAGAACGAAGCGGTCTTAGGGTGGGAAATGTTTCCTTTGAGAGGTGCGGGTTTTCCGCAGGGCTCCCCCAGATCGCCTGGGAAAGCGGCCAGGGGAGTTGCGGACGCCCCCGGTCGCAGCGAGCCCGTTTTCGTTCCTGCAAGTCTCTCTGCCGGGTGGTTTTGCCATGTGTGTGTCCTTCCCCCGCTCTCAAAGAAAATGTTTTAATGGTCCGATCTCATTTTTAGTTTCTTTGAAGCTTCGGGTTTGGTTTTAAAAGGCACTGTTTAAGGTTTCTTTGTTTTTTAAGAAGAAGAAAAGTCTATGAAACTCAGGACTGCGGTTTGTTTTTTTCTTTTTTTTTCTTTTTTTTTTTTTTTCCCAATTAGATATTCAAATGCACGTTTAAAAGAAAATCGGATCAGTCAGGAAGTTTGGAGAATTCCCATACTATTTTTTTTTAATCCTTGTTTTCCCACCCCCTCCGTGCGTGGGTTTTTTGGTGTATTGGTAATTATTTGTATATAGATTATTCGGGAGCTAATGAGCGGAGTCCAGTTAACTCTTCACTGGTTGTGCATCCGTCATATCTATTTTATTGAGAGAATCTGTGAATAATTTGATGTGGAAAAGGCAACAGAATTTTGTCCACCGTCGGTGTAAATTAATAAATGTTTGTGACCTGGATAAAAAAAAAAAAAATAACAATCCAAATCGTTCTTTGCGATGTCCTTTGTCACGCTGAGAGCCGAGAGCCCCGCTCGGGCCTCGGGGAAGCGAGAGGCTCCCAGCCTCGGGCCGGCGACCCTCGGGCGTTCTGCAGGGGCTGAGCGGCCCCTCCGCGGCCGGGCCCCTGCCCAGCGCTGCCACACGCCCGGGCCGGCAAACCAAAACATCCCCGGATTTTATTATTTTTATTATTTTTTATAAATTTTAATTTTTTTTTCTTGGATTTTGGTGTCTCCCAGGAAAAAAAAAAAACTAACAAAAAAAAAAACCCCAACAAACAAGAAATCCCAAAAAACAACAAAACCAAAAAATAGCCCGCGTGTTTTCAGGGGGAAGGAGTGGCGGCCGGGAAAAAGGTTCTCCCTTCTTCACCCCCTCCCCCCCACACCTCCTTTTATTTTGTTTGGAAAAGTTGACACATGAGAAAATAAGTTGGAGGGTTTCCCCCCCGCATACACGTTCCCCCTTGGGCCTGCAGTATTTGAATGACCGAATGAAACTTGATCTCTGCCTAAATTTTGCAACAACTTACAAAGTAAATAAACATCTTAAAGCGTTCCGTTCTCTTCCAAACTTCCCCTCACCTCCCCACCTCCAATTTATTTATTTCAGGGACCAAACGTGGCTCTTTGGTTTGTTTGTTGGCAGGGACCCTGATCGAAAGAATCGAGGCCTTTCTGACCGGGCAGCCAGCTGAAGGAGAAGGAGAAAAAGGAAAAAAGAGCTGAGCCGTACGAGGCAGGGAGCGGGGGACGGAGCCGGTCCCCGGGCAGCGGGGCTTTGTGCGGGGCCCTCCGGGGCTCAGGCAGGAGCAGGAGCCGGGCGGTGTGCGCCGAGGAGCGGGGGGGATCGGCTTTTCTTTTCACTTCCATCACCCATCCCTTTTTTATCCCCCCTCCGCTGCCCCTGTCTGTGCCACCTCGAACCTCCGCGCAGTTTGTTGATGTTGTTCCTGAACGTGCCGCCTCCCCGCAGCGAGCGGTCTCACATCTCGCCTTCACACACATTTGCTTTTGAAAAGCGATCTTCGTGTCCGGCACTTGGTTGTCTCCCTTTCATGTCCAGCTCCTACAAAAGGGGCTACAAGACTCGACATGGGAGAAAAGAGGAGGCCAATGAATCTATTTTCCAGATTGCCAAGCACATGGTTGGAAATTGAAGGGGCTTTTGTAGCATTTCCCCTTCCTCCCTCCCTCCACTCTCCTTTTCTTTTGCTTGTGTGCAAAATGTTCAATTGCTCTGGCAGGGGTGTTCCTGACAAGCTCATTACTAGAAGGTGCCAGACCCCTCCTCTCCCTCTCCCCCGAAGTCTTTGATGAAGTTAAAATGCGCTGATAGCTGCTCTCGGGGCTATCTTTGTTCAGCCTCTTTCAATAACCGAGCTTGCTTTGAGGAGACGGGATCCGAGGGAAGAAAGCGATGTACAGCGAGGCTGGGTGGTGGTTGTGCGCCTGGCAGAAGGGGGGCTAGTTGTTTTAATATAAAGTAGCGATTTTTAATAATTTTTGGCTTGTTTGTTTGTGAAGTGCAGGAGGGACAGGAGCCAAGGGTGCCAGGAGCGGATAAGAAATGGCAGTCGATGCCCATAGGGATGAAGGAGGCGTGTGGCTCCTCCAGTCCCGCTGGTGCAATGGGTTCTCCAAGTTGGTGGTCTCAGGGCTTGAAGGGATGGAGGGGGGTCCTCTGCGGGGAAGCGGTGTTTCCCTGGAGAGCCCCCTGCCCCACACGCTCAGGAGAGAGGGATCGGGAGCGGTGTCTGGGTCTGGGACACCTTGCCCCGGCTCCGTTCATCTCCTTTTGCCTTGCGGATTTGTGGGTTTTTAAGCCGCGCTCTCCGGACAGAATTGAAGCTGAACTGACTTGGGAGCGGGGGGATTCCCCCCCTTTACCGGGACTCGTGGTACCCACGCAGGAAGGGTCGGGATCGGCCCTGCGGGGGCTGCGAGTGCGAGCGCGGTCGAGGTTTTATTTTGGGGGGAAGAACCCCAAGCGTCCCTAAAATTAGAATTTTCCCAATTCCCTGAATTTCCCTGAAGCACCGCAGCTCGTTCCGTGCCCCGATCGGGCTCACGCCGCCTGCAAGTGTCTGCGTGGCTCGGGGAGGGTCGGCGGAGCCCCGGGAACCGGCTCTCCCCGTCCTCCGGAATGGGGGGCGGCGGGGAAGGACCCGGGGGTCTCCCCTGGCTCCGGAATGCCCTGGCCGGGCTCGGTTCGGGGGTTTCATGAGAAATTTTGCCTCGGCTAGGCGGGACGGATAATGGCCCCTAATTACGGGGCAGGCTGGCTCCGCAGCCCCGATCTTCACGGGACGTTATTTTTAAGCGTTCAGCGAGGATCATTTTTCACGCCTCGCTGCCTAAAGGAGGGTTTTATTTATTTATTGGAGGGGAGGCGAGGAGGACACCAGCAATAACCGAGCACTGAAAGGAAAATAATTAGCTGTTGCAGTCGCTGCTTGGGAGTCCCTGGCCAGAAAGGCGATTTAGCATTTCCCTTTTCCTCCCCTCCCGTGCTTAGGCTCCGTAGCTCAGGTTCTCGGGGCTGCTTTCGGGGGTTGTTTTGTCACTGGTAAACCTCGGGCAAAGCCCTCCAGGAGCCCGATCCTTTTCTGCACGTTTAGGGTTTTTTCCCCCCATCTCCCTTTCGGATCGGCGGCTGTTTCCGAGTAGAACCGGGGGGGGAATGCGGATTCCCTTGCCTTGCTTTGGCTTTGGTTACGCATTCATGGAGTTAGTTTTTGGTTTTTGGTTTTTTGTTTTTTTTCCTTTAATGTGCCCCCACTCCTCTGCTTTCTACATGTCAGGTGAAAGGATTGCAGCAAAACCGCGTCGCTCTGTGCGTAGTTACTCCGCGGCGGATTTCCGTGTGTGCGCAGCCCGGGAGAGGCGGAAAACGGGGGATTCTCCTCGGGTTTGTCGGGGCGAGATAAAACGATCCTGCCCCGGAATATCCCCGTCGGGACCACAGCGGGAGGGCTGTGTGTGTATAATTGCTTTCTCTGCTTTCGCTTAACTAAGCCCGTGTTAAGTGGTGCGGATCCCGAGGAGGGAAGCGAGCGGCCCTTCCCTCGCCCGCTGCGGGCTGTGGGTGCGGGATCCCAGCCCGGCCGTCCCCGCTGCGCTCCCGCTCGGCCCTCACCTCCTGCCTCTTCCCCTGGCACCTTCTGCTTTCCATTACTGCTGATTTGGAGAATTAGGAAAGGTCAAGATCTTATTCCTTTCTCCGGTAGTTTTTTTGTTTTCTCTTTCTAGTTCCTCGCAGCCCCGAACAAAAATAAATCATCCTGGATTATAAAAACCACCTTTAGACACCAAAAACATATTTTCCAATAGTTTGATCCTTCCTCCAGGACTGCCCTGGCCTTTCCTTGTGACTGCGCAGAAACTCCCGTTTTCACGGTGAATTTAGGATTTAATAATAACGTCCAATCTCCCCGTGCCCCAGTGCCCGACCTGAAAACATTGCCCTCCAGCATCTTTTTTCCCTCCCCATCTCTCTTTCATTTCTTTCCTTTCCCAAGCAGAACGCAGAGAAACGAGATGTTTAAAAAAAAAAAAAATAATAAAAAAATCCCGTTTTCCGATCTGGAGAGGGCAGGAAGAGATGTTGGAGCCGGCTCAGCCGCGGGAAAATTGCTTTGGAAATGAAGTTGGTGCTTCTGAAATCTCCTCGAGGTGTTCGCTGTAGGTCAGGGACCTGTGCTCGCCCCTGTGTCTGTCTGTCAGGCGAAGAGAGGGGCAGGGGCTCTGTGTTCTCCCCTCACCTCCCGAACTACGGCTCGTCTGTCCTTCCTCTTTGTCGTCTTTTATTTCTCATCCGCTCTTTTTTCACTTTTTATTTCTCCTTTGTAATTTCCCATCTTCTTTCTTTCTTTCTTTCTTTCTTTCTTTCTTTCTTTCTTTCTTTCTTTCTTTCTTTCTTTCTTTCTTTCTTTCTTTCTTTCTTTCTTTCTTTCTTTCTTTCTTTCTTTCTTTCTTTCTTTCTTTCTTTCTTTCTTTCTTTCTTTCTTTCTTTCTTTCTTTCTTTCTTTCTTTCTTTCTTTCTTTCTTTCTTTCTTTCTTTCTTTCTTTCTTTCTTTCTTTCTTTCTTTCTTTCTTTCTTTCTTTCTTTCTTTCTTTCTTTCTTTCTTTCTTTCTTTCTTTCTTTCTTTCTTTCTTT